TAGTGACAACAGCCCTTTCTAAATCTGGCTAGGGACTGGGTGCAGGTGGGGGTGGGGGCACCCTGCTACCCCATATATACAGCCCCTGAGGCCAGGTCTGGCTCTGAGCAATCTCCTGTGTCCTTCCTTGCTGGCCTCAGGTAGGAGCGGGAACTGGAGGCCTTCTTCTGAGATAAGGGGCTCCAGGTTCCGGAAGAGATTCCACGAGAATATCAGGCTTCTGAAAGGACTTCACGTAGTACCCGATTATTATTGAGCACTCCTGTGCAGATCTAAATATGCAGGCTTGTGCCATAGAAATGCAGGGCCCGTGTGTTCCCCAGGGAAAATATCTGTATCTGAACATGGCCCAGAATGCAATAGTGGGGGGGGGGAGGGTGCACGCACGCACATGCGTGTGCATTTGCGCACAAATGTGTGGGTGCACCCTTGAATACAAGCACACGTGTCTTCAATGTAGGGGTGAGTATACTTTTCACCGTGTAAGATACAGTAGAGGACGTACTTGCCATCACGCCTGGGTACAGCGTTTTGGGGGAGGAGGGGGAGAATGCTGGAGAATAACTCTGAAGGAAACCAGTACTGTGAATAATTGAGTCTGACATGTACACACTGTCCAGGGCGACTCTGTGTCCAGTCTCTGCAGCAGGAGCTCACAGGCATGCAGGTGTCTTGGGGAGGACTCTGAGTCAGCCACGGGAGTCAGCCTGTGTGCTTGGCTGTTCTTGAGGCACACGAACACTGTGGGGGCGTGTGCGCTGAGGATAGGAGGCAGCCTATCTTTCTGGAAAGTGTGTACACACACAGCAGTCATGCGTGCTCATTAGGGGTTGTGGAGGAGGCGCTGGGATGGAAGACCCATCTAACAGGATGCTGTTAGAGTCCTGACCCTTGGCTCTTGTTTTGGGCCCTGAGAAGAGCAAGCCATGTGGCCTCGGTTTCCTCACGTGTCCAAGGGGTGACCGTGGAGTGAAAGAATCAAAGTGCTTTGTCTGAAAAATATTAAACCAATGTCACTGTTATCGCTTTGTAGGTGGCTCAAAGAGAGGAAGTCTCGCCAGTCGGGTACAGGTAAGGGTAGAACAACCCCTAGGGGTAGAAGATTGGGGCTCAGAGGCAACAGAAAATTGTTTGAATTAGTTTTGGGGAGAAAGGAAATAGCGTTTGAAAAGGAAGGAGGAGACTGACCAGAGGACTGAACAGCGCTTCTGGTCTGTCTTGGGGGTGGAGGAGGGGGGATGCTGAAGAGAACAGCGGACAGGATGAAGGTGGCAGTGGCCAGGTTGGCCTACAGCCTGCCGCAGCCCCTTTCCTTTCTCCAGGGTTCCTCCAGGCCTGGGCCGACTTCCTCATCACTAGACGCGTTTGAGAAACTAAGGTAAGAAGGGCTGAAGTTCAAGTGCTGGGGGTTCTGGGAAGACTGAACATGGTAGCCCAAAGCCTTTCTTGCCCTGCTCGGAGACAATGACCTGGTTTCCAGGAGCTCCTTGCCTATGGCCAGTGAGGGATGGGGTCTGTTGATAGGGAGAGATCGAGGCAGACAGAATCCTGCCCAGAAAGAAGGTCAGGACCCTCCCCAAAGAGTGCCCCAGCTTGAACAAAGTGAAGCTGTCCCTTTTGCCAGGCAGTTGTCAGGCTGATCTCCCATTTAGGGGTAAGCTTGAAGAGCAAGGGACTCGCGGGTGGTTCCTCCTGAGTGCTGAGCGTGGTATCAGATCTGCCACCACAGGGGAGAGCCAGGGAGGGAGAAGGCACGTAGGTAACAGCCGCTCCTCACCCCAGGCTCAGCCATGGCAGATGCCGAGATGGCCGCATTTGGGGCCGCAGCCCCCTTCCTGCGCAAATCTGAGAAGGAGCGGCTGGAGGCGCAGACCAGGCCTTTCGACCTCAAGAAAGATGTGTTTGTGCCTGATGACAAGGAAGAGTTTGTCAAGGCCAAGATTGTGTCTCGAGAGGGTGGCAAAGTCACTGCTGAGACAGAGAATGGCAAGGTACGTGTGGGTACCCGTGTGGGAAGCCACTTGAGAGAGCCCCACAGCTGGGGTGCACAGAGAGGGTACATGCATGCACACCTGAGGGCCACTGAGCCTCCTGTCCTCCAGGTAGGATGGAAGCCCAAACTCTCCCATGATCCCTCTGACTCCCAGCCTCCACCCTACATCCAAGATCCCTCCTCAGCTAAATAGCATCTCACCCACCCGTACCTTCCCTACTCCCCACGTTGCCAATAGAGCAGGACAGACACAGACTGACAGGGCCTGTGTGGGCTGTTACAGACGGTGACCGTGAAGGAAGACCAGGTGATGCAGCAGAACCCGCCCAAGTTCGACAAGATTGAAGACATGGCCATGCTGACCTTCCTACACGAGCCGGCCGTGCTGTACAACCTCAAGGAGCGCTATGCCTCCTGGATGATCTACGTGAGTGTGGCACCAGCCTGTCCCCCAGAACCTAGGGCTTCCTGGGCAAGAGCAGCCTCCTGAAGCCAAGCCAGGAACAAGGCGCTCTACACAGGCTCCTGCCCCTTTGGCTCAGCTGTAACACTGGAATGGTTCCGCTGCACACATTCTGAGCTCTCCCTTTGCTTTCTTCCTCTCCGGGGGTCTTTCTCGAATTCTGAAAATCACCCTCACACGCTTTCTCTTCCTCACCCCCAGACCTACTCGGGCCTCTTCTGCGTCACTGTCAACCCCTATAAGTGGCTGCCAGTGTATAATGCTGAAGTGGTGGCTGCCTACAGGGGCAAGAAAAGGAGCGAGGCCCCGCCCCACATCTTCTCTATCTCTGACAATGCCTATCAGTACATGCTGACAGGTGAGCCTGGTGTCCTGGCCTGTGTCCCCCTCACCCCAGCCCCCACCTAGCCCCCACCCATTGTCTCTCCTCTTCTCTCTTCCAGATCGGGAGAACCAGTCCATCCTTATCACGTGAGCATGGTTCCAGACTCCCTAATCCCAGCCCCCAGGGGGAACCCAGACTCCTTTGCACACACCTATGATTCTCTTTCTCTCCACCCTATGCCCATTGCTTTCTTCTCTGATCTTTGCCCTGGCTCCTTTCTTTGTGTCCCTCTTCCTCTCTGCTTTTCATCTCTCTCGGTTTCCTCGCTTGCTTCCTTCGCCCGTTGCCTTCTAACTCTTCCATCCTCTCTAAGCCCATTGGATAAAGTCCACACGCGCGTCTTCACCGCCTCCTCTTCCTTAGCTTTCCTTTCCGAAATCTTTTCCTTCTTCCACCCACTCTTCCAAAACAGTCCTCCCCGCTGATTGAGCCCATTCTCTTGCAGCATCTTTCCTGCTTGCTCGCTGGATCCTTGGTGCCATTCTCTACCAACTTCCCGATGAGACTGCCCCTCTCCAGTAGGGATAGGTGTTCTCTCCTCACTTGAGGTTTGTTGATCATAAGCAGCAGTATTTACTGCCTATTGAGCCTTTGCCTGTCACAACAGGGGAGAATCCGGAGCTGGTAAGACAGTCAACACCAAGAGGGTCATTCAATATTTTGCTGTTATTGCTGCCATTGGGGACCGCAGCAAGAAGGACCAGACCCCAGGCAAGGTAGGCCTGTTATCACCTAAGGGCCTGCATTGTGAGAAAAAAAAGTAGGGAGTCTTCACCTCCCATCCTTCATGACCTCTTACAGGGCACCCTGGAAGACCAGATCATCCAAGCCAACCCCGCGCTGGAGGCCTTTGGCAATGCCAAGACAGTCCGGAACGATAATTCCTCTCGATTTGTGAGTGATACTCCACCTTGTACTTGGGACTTGGGCTGGCTGAAGATTGGTCTCAACTATGAGCCTTTCCCAGGCTCACTACCACCCTCTACTATCCATCTCTTCAGGGAAAATTCATTCGAATCCATTTTGGGGCAACTGGAAAGTTGGCATCTGCGGACATAGAGACCTGTAAGTTCCGTGAAGCTACTGGGGCTTACTTAGGCTGAGCCCACCCTGCCCCACACTGCCTGGTCTCAATACCTTTCCCCAATACCCCAGTTTTGCTTTCTTTTTCTGACTCTATGCTTGCCTGCCCTAGGTTTTCCCTCTGTCTTGGGTACCAGTGCATGTTCTTTTGGGATTTTTCTCTGAGATGCTCTTTCCTTCTGGGTCTCTGCCCAATCTTTGTGCGTGACGTCTGCACGTCTTCCCTGCCCTTCGTCACCACGCTCCTCATCCCCTTTCCCTCATTTCTTTGCACCTACATTCTGCCCTTTCATTCCTCCTCCTCTCTCCATTCACAGACCTTCTGGAAAAATCCAGGGTTATTTTCCAGCTGAAAGCAGAAAGAGATTATCACATTTTCTACCAAATCCTGTCTAATAAAAAGCCCGAGCTTCTAGGTGAGTCAGACTGAGACCAGCTATTTCCATGGCAACCCAGTCCCCTCTGCCAGTGGCTGGATTTTGTCGGTATGCCTCGGGCCTAATGACACTACTAGATCCAGTTTTGTGGGTCAAGCCAAACTCTGAGCCTTCGTCCCCTTGGCCCGCGTGCTATTAGCCAGCAGCCACCCTGATAGCCGGGGGGTTATGGCACATCTGAACCACGCTCCTCCCACTCTTAGACATGCTGCTGATCACCAACAACCCCTACGATTACGCATTCATCTCCCAGGGAGAGACAACTGTGGCCTCAATTGATGACTCTGAAGAGCTCATGGCCACTGATGTAAGTATGTGAGGACGCAGCCGGGGGTGAACAGGGAGGAGTGGCCCATGGGGCCAGCTCAGGAGCAGAGCCACGGCAGTGGCTATCTGATTTCTAAAGAAATACAACCCTCCTTGAGAGCTAGAATGTGCCCTGTAGACAGGGCCTGCTGAGGCGCGTGCTAGGAAACAGGAGACTGGCCAGTATCGGGTGCTGTCACACCAGAGTGCTGAGAACCATGGACGGGAAGGCAAAGGACAAAGTGGCACCACAGGAGAAGTGGGAAGGAGAACCATAGACCCCGTGGGGCTGGGAGGAGCTATGGATAGAGGGATGCATGCAGGTGTGAAAGCCTAGGCAGGGGAGTGAGGGAAGGGCTGGGACCACAGGTGGGCAGCCCATGGTGGCCTGCGGCAGAGAACAGGTGTGACTGTTGTCAGTGCGCAGTGACAAGGCAGGACCCTGATCCTCTGCTGTCTCTCTTGGTTTTGGAGTCCCTCTCTGGGTGTGGAAACCATACTTGACAGGGACTAGGGAGACACACTCAAGTTCTCTCTCCAGCCTTCGAAGGATCTCATTAACCAGTCACACTTCCTTTTCTGGGATTCACCGATGTGGGACCCGCTGACAGAGCGCCTTTGATGTGCTGGGCTTCACTCCAGAAGAGAAGAACTCCATTTACAAGCTGACAGGCGCCATCATGCACTTTGGAAACATGAAGTTCAAACAGAAGCAGCGGGAGGAGCAGGCGGAGCCAGACGGCACTGAGGGTGAGAAGCAGGAAAGCCGCCGAGCGGCTGCGGGCCACGTCTGCAGCACGCGTGTCCTGTACTAACTCTGCCACCTGCCCTGTGCTTCCAGAGGCTGATAAATCTGCCTACCTCATGGGGCTGAACTCAGCCGACCTGCTCAAGGGGTTGTGCCACCCTCGGGTCAAAGTGGGCAACGAGTATGTCACCAAGGGGCAGAATGTCCAGCAGGTGGGTTGTCTCCGAAAGAGAAACGGACGGAGGAGAGATCATGGCGTGCTGGGGTACGAGCTTTCCAATTCATCCTTCCTGGTAGCACAACTCATCTGGACCTCTCCCTTACCCTGCAGGTGTCATACGCCATCGGGGCGCTGGCCAAGTCAGTGTACGAGAAGATGTTCAACTGGATGGTGACCCGCATCAACGCAACCCTGGAGACCAAACAGCCACGCCAGTACTTCATAGGTGTCCTGGACATCGCCGGCTTTGAGATCTTCGATGTGAGTCCGGGAACCCTGGCCTGGAACGCCACTTGTCCCTCACTCACTCACTCACACCTTTGGTCACGTGTGGAGGACCAGCCGTGGGCCAGGCCCAGGATGGCAGTGGGGAGCATATAATGACAGAGCCAATCCCTGTCCCTGCCCTCAGGAGAGGCTCTCCCTTCCCTGTCATGATCTGGGAGGGGACCAGCTATACCTGTGCTGGGCTCCATGTGGGGCAGGCACAGCCCTAGGCTGACCCCATGGCCACTCAGACCCTCAGTCAGCCTGCCTGACTGGCTGTCACACCCTCCAGTTCAACAGCTTCGAGCAGCTGTGCATCAACTTCACCAACGAGAAGCTGCAGCAGTTCTTCAACCACCACATGTTCGTGCTGGAGCAGGAGGAGTACAAGAAGGAAGGCATCGAGTGGACGTTTATTGACTTCGGCATGGACCTGCAGGCCTGCATCGACCTCATCGAGAAGGTGTGCCCGGGCTCCACTATCCGAATCTGTCGCCCACACTCCACACGAACACTTCAGAACTCCAGATAAGGGGTGGCTCTTCTCCCTTCTGATGAGTTCAGTCTAAGTATCAGAAGTGGGACTCCAGAGGCCTTTTCCAGAGTCCTGTGTTGTCCAGAATGTCCATGACAGAGTGCCCACAGCTGTGTTCCCACTAACAGCTGTGTTCCCAGGGGCTGCAGACTGACACCTAAAAGACGGGCACCTAGAGGTTGACTGTCTCCACCAGCATGGTTACTGACCCTGGCTTGCACACATCTAAGGTTCAGGGAGCATGCAGGTGGTACGGGAGTCAGAAGAGGGCACTGTGTTTAACCTCAGCATTGCAGGGATCCAGGAGACAGACGTATGTTAAAGGTACTAGTAACAGCCACAGACTGAGACTTGCAAAAAAAAAAAAAAAGACCCCAAAACAAAAAACCAAACTCCCACCTGTGGAAGCCTCGACAGGTGTCAAGCAGTAGACGGCTGCTGTTCTTGAGCCGAGCCTGGTTTCTTACCCTCCACCCTGTTTGAGCACATGCTGACATGAAGAACATATGTCTACCTGAGTGAAGTTTACTCAATGGTTCTCTCCCTCCACTCTCAGCCCATGGGCATCATGTCCATCCTGGAGGAAGAGTGCATGTTCCCCAAGGCCACAGACATGACCTTCAAGGCCAAGCTGTACGACAACCACCTGGGCAAGTCCAACAACTTCCAGAAGCCTCGCAATGTCAAGGGGAAGCAGGAAGCCCACTTCTCTTTGGTGCACTACGCTGGCACGGTGGACTACAACATCCTAGGCTGGCTACAGAAGAACAAGGACCCCCTCAATGAGACGGTGGTGGGTTTGTACCAGAAGTCCTCCCTCAAGCTGCTCAGCAATCTATTCGCCAACTATGCTGGAGCTGATGCCCGTAAGTGTGCCTGGCATTAGCATTCTAAGGTGTATGCCTAGTTCTGAGGCACATCAATTGCAAAACCTCACCCCTTCCCTGCCATGGAATGCCCTGGGGTGTATGGAATAGACTCAGTGAGAGAGAACTGGGTGGAGACACTGACGCAGCCACTTTGAAAACCCTGTCTGCCTCCATTCCCCATTCTTGGCCTCCCTACATGCCCCCTAATGCCCCCTTTCTTGGCTTCCTCTCCCACAGCTGCAGACAAGGGCAAAGGCAAGGCCAAGAAGGGCTCATCCTTCCAGACCGTGTCCGCTCTGCACAGGGTGAGTGTGTGTAGAGCCACACCTAGCAGGGTCCCCATTCGTTCACTCCCTCAGCCCCAGCGCCTGCCAACACCAGCTCTCCTCAGTCCTTCCTGACCCTCTTCATGGCTGTGCCTCTCGTCTCGTAGCCTCTACTCTTGCTCCCCGTCTCAGCTCTCCCATTTCTCATCTGCCATCCGCCTCCCCCTCGCCTGTGCTCTCCCTGGAACCCGAAAGCCTCCTCCTTCCTGTAGTCCCTCCATTCCTTCCTCTCCTCTCCATTTGCTACTCCTCCTTCTTGCTTGCTTTTATTTCTCCCTCTTTTTCTGACACAGGAAAACCTGAACAAACTCATGACAAACTTGCGCTCCACCCATCCGCACTTTGTACGCTGCATCATCCCCAACGAGACAAAGTCTCCAGGTGAGTCCATGAACTTGAACGAGCCCACACTGGGCACACACTGTCTCAGAGACAGGACCAAGTACTCTCCAAGCCTTGGTGGCTTCCAAATCATTTTCTTCTCCCAGACTTCCCCTCCAGTGTTACCTTATGCTGGGAATGTATACCTCAGAGTGATGTGTAAGGCATTTTTATGGCTATCAGCTCATGAGTGACTGAAAGCCCTTAATGAGGCATATAAGGAATGTCTATCTGTTTTTAAACCGTAGAAAACAAAATATCAGGGAACCTGGGTTCAAAATCTGGCTCCGATTTCAATGACCTCACTGACCCTTCTACAAATCCCTTAGCTCACTCACCTAGAAGATGAGATACATCTGTCCTGGAACCAACTATAAAAATCAGTATAAATTATATGAAGTGATAGACGTGAAATCTTTTGGTTACTATTAAAAGTGTGGCGAGGGTGGTGGGAGGAAATGAAACAAATAAAGAATTATTACTGACAGATTGGCTTGCTAAAGTAACTAACTAATGTGTGCCCGAGCCAGAATGGGAACCCAGTGGACTTGGTGTTAGTCTAGCTCTCTCCCCAATAACTTTTCTCCTTCCTGCTGCCCCAGGGGTGATGGACAACCCTCTGGTCATGCACCAGCTGCGATGCAATGGTGTGCTGGAGGGCATCCGCATCTGCAGGAAGGGCTTCCCCAACCGAATTCTCTATGGGGACTTCCGGCAGAGGTGGGTAAGGGGTGCCCGGGGCTCAGGGAGCCAGGGGTGGGCTGCTTTGGTGGGAGTGGGGGCCTATGATGGCCCTGGAATTCTGCAGGCAGAGCAGACCCACACCCACCCAGGATGCAAATAACTCTGAGAACTTCCCTCCCAAGGTACCGCATCCTGAACCCAGCAGCCATCCCTGAGGGCCAATTCATTGATAGCAGGAAAGGGGCTGAGAAGCTGCTGGGCTCCCTGGACATTGACCACAACCAGTACAAGTTCGGTCACACCAAGGTGAGCCTAGAGCTCCACGGAATGGGTGCAGAGCAGGTAGCCATACTGAGTGCCGCAGCTGAGACGGTTGCATTCCCCACAGTCAGACCTAGAATGCGCAGGTGGTGGGTACCTGGAAGCTCACTGAACACTCTTCCACCCACCTCTACTCTGGTCACCCTCCCTTGAGGCTGTGCCCCACGCTGGTTCTACCCACTTGCCCACAGGTGTTCTTCAAGGCGGGGCTGCTGGGGCTGCTGGAGGAGATGCGAGATGAGAGGCTGAGCCGCATCATCACCAGAATCCAGGCCCAGTCCCGAGGTGTGCTTTCCAGAATGGAGTTCAAGAAGCTGCTGGAGCGCAGGTGAGAGGACTTTAAAGGCGGTCCCCAGACCTCCTGAGGTCCAGGCCAGTACAGCGACAGTGTCAAGAGAAAGGCATCAGCGGGAAGGCACCTTATGAACACAAGATGGTCCTTAGCATCCGAAGGCCTCGGGGAGGGTGAGATAGATAAGGAAAAGGGGCTTTATCTAGGAATAAGGGTCTTAGATGGGAGGGAACAGGAGTGGTCCTCACGCTGTTCCTCTCGCTGTCCCGACAGAGACTCCCTGCTGATTATCCAGTGGAACATCCGGGCCTTCATGGGGGTCAAGAACTGGCCATGGATGAAGCTCTACTTCAAGATCAAGCCCCTGCTGAAGAGCGCAGAGACGGAGAAGGAGATGGCCAACATGAAGGAGGAGTTTGGGCGAGTCAAAGATGCACTCGAGAAGTCGGAGGCTCGCCGCAAGGAGCTGGAGGAGAAGATGGTGTCCCTGCTGCAGGAGAAGAACAACCTGCAGCTGCAAGTGCAGGCGGTGAGGCCCCATAGCTATTGTTAGCTCCCCTGCTGCCCCCTCTGTACCGAGGAGTGCACCGTCTTGTCCCTCATAGGCTTAGGATTCTGGGAGCACATTTTCAAAGAGCCCCAAACTGGTCCCTCAGGAGGAGAAAAGGCAAAAAGCACCCCCTTTTAAACACACAGGTTTAGTCATGTAAGGTGGCACACACCTGTTATCCCAGCACTTGGAGACCAGAGAAACAGAAGTTCAAGGCTGGTTTTTGTTATAGCATGAGCTCAAGGCCAGCCTGGGCCATAAGAGATCCTGTCTCAAATGCGTATGTATTTGTACACACATACACACACATACACCCACCACCCACCCACCCACACACACACAAGGTGGGGGTTCCTAGCGGAAACTGTAGACCATCTTCGAGCCTAAATTTCTTCATGCTTACACAGGAATTAAGCTACCGGTTTTATAGGTTAAATTCACAGTGTTTGACGTCAGCAAATGCAAGTTCTTCAAGCAAGGAAACTAGAGGAAAAGGCCATGTGAAGACTTTCCATTTCCTCCTCTCCTTTTCCCACCGAGTGCTCCCAAGCCACATCATCCTAAAAGCCCTCCCTGTCCTCCTGAGGCTCTTTTCAGCCGAGAATAAGCCGGGTCCCTCTCCTCTCTGGGTGCTGCACCTCTCCCTTCTGCCACCTGTGAGGACAGGGACCCATCCTCAGACCACCCTCCCTTTCTGTACCGTGACCCCAGGAACAAGACAACCTGGCTGATGCAGAGGAGCGCTGCGACCAGCTGATCAAGAACAAGATCCAGCTGGAGGCCAAGGTGAAGGAAATGACCGAGAGGCTGGAGGACGAGGAGGAGATGAACGCTGAGCTCACTGCCAAGAAACGCAAGCTGGAAGATGAGTGCTCGGAGCTCAAGAGGGACATTGATGACCTGGAGCTGACACTGGCCAAGGTGGAGAAGGAGAAGCATGCAACAGAGAACAAGGTGAGGCCAGCTTCCTCTGGTTCCAAACCACAGTAGTTAGGAAACCTCACGGTAGTTCCAAACCATATTGCTGCAGCCTGGAGGTTCTTCTAGCTGTCCCCAGTGGGTGCCCTTTGACTTAAGGGGAATGTGGGATTTTTTTATTTATTTGGCAGGTGAAAAACCTGACAGAGGAGATGGCTGGGCTGGATGAGATCATTGTCAAACTGACCAAGGAGAAGAAAGCTCTGCAAGAGGCCCACCAGCAGGCCCTGGATGACCTGCAGGCTGAGGAAGACAAGGTCAACACTCTGACCAAGGCTAAGGTCAAGCTGGAGCAGCAGGTGGATGACGTAAGTAGACAGGGTGAAACAGGCTTTGATACAGCTAAGCATGTCCATCTGCGCTGAGAGGTATGTGTGAGTGTGTGTTGGGTGAGGGTATTGAAAAGTGTTTATTCTCCTGATATCTTCCCAGAATAAATCTGGGGTATAGGAAGCATGAGGGTTATCGATTTCAAATAATGTATCTAATCTCACTGTTATTTATGATCAATCACAGAACTAGGCTGTTGGGTTTTTTTTAAAAAAACATAATTAAACTTTAAAGTTTAAAACTTAAACCCACATAACTCTATCTTTGACCATAGGGTTTAAAGAATTATCTCCTAAGAACATTATATATCTCTTTGGTAAATTGTGAGACTCTTTGAAGAGGATCTTGGCAGAGTCTGATCCTGAGTGACCATTGGTCCCTCATATGTGTATATATGTTTATCAAACCCCTTACCATTCTTCTCTAATAACCTAAGTATTTGTCTCAGCCGTAGGACTAAGAGCTCCCCTCAAATGGGAACTTGAGTTTGCTCAGTTTTATGTCTTCAGTACCCTGTCCAGAGCCTGGAACCAGTAGGTACTTACAGGATGCTGAATGAATGATTAGAGTTTTGGAAACTTATCCCAATTTCATTCATTCAGAAAATATCTATTGAGCAAACCCTCCATTCTCAACATTCTCATGGTTACCTGGAGACATTGGTCCTTTCTAGGGAAGTTTCCAGAGTCCTGGATTTCCCAAGGATTTCCAAAATGTAGAGTAACAAAACCAAGGTCAGAATGCTATACCTCGTGGTACATAGCTGGCCCTTCTCTCCGCCAGCTGGAGGGATCCCTGGAGCAGGAGAAGAAGGTGCGCATGGACCTGGAGCGAGCCAAGCGGAAGCTGGAGGGTGACCTGAAGCTGACTCAGGAGAGCATCATGGACCTGGAGAATGACAAACAGCAGCTAGATGAGCGACTTAAAAAGTACCGTGTTCCCACACTGCTGTGGTTCCTTCCTTTCAGCCCGGCTTAGCTCACAACTGTGAAAGCTCACCCAGGGGCCATGCTAAGAGACAATGGATGCTCAAACTGAGGGCAAAGACCTACAGGAAGAGTACTTTCCTCTCTAACACACACATTAAGGCCCTGTGGTTCTCCCTGGCAAGGAGTCTTGCTTGGAACCCTCAAACCCCTTGTTCCTGCTAGGCCCTTGGGAGAGGGGAAAATAAAAACATATTTTCTTTGTGAGCACTCAGACAGAGAGGAAGGCTGCACCCAAAAGCCTCCCTTTGGGCTTTTCTACAGAAAGGAAATTGAATCACAAAGAAATGGCTCTGCTGTTAAGGAAAAAAAAAATGAAGGGCTTGGGACATTTCTTTTTTCTAAGTAACTTCTTGTCCCATCTTTATGGCAAAACCTTCCAAAAGTTGCACACACAGACTTGGCTAATAGTGAGTTGCAAAAACATGTTTTGATATTTGAAGATCTTATCATATAGGAAACTTCACACTTCCCTAGACAGAGTTTTAAATTATATGTAAATGTGTGTGTGTGTGTGTGAGAGAGAGAGAGAGAGAGAGAGAGAGAGAGAGAGAGAGAGAGAGAGAGAGAGAGTGTAGAGCATGCAGACATCAGAAGAGGGCATCAGGTCCCTGGGGGCAGCCTGAGGTCAGTGCTGGGAACGACCTTGCTTCCTCTGGAAGAGCAGCACTCTCTACGGTTGCACCATCTCTCTAGCCCCTGCTCCGTCTCCTTATAAAGATGATATAGAGGTGGCTGAGGCTCAGCAAGGTCAGCGAGTTGAGAGGAAAATGAGTATGATCAAAATGCATGATGGAGGGATATGAATCTGGCCCTGTGTACAATGTTTATTCCCCAATTTTAAAAAAAAAAAGAGGCTACTGAGTTGCCTAAACTAACTGTGAGAAGTTAAAGATCACGCCCCCCTCACACACACACACACACACACACACACACACACAGAGAGAGAGAGAGAGAGAGAGAGAGAGAGAGAGAGGTCTTTGAAATAGTCTCATCCTTTCACAGATGGAAAGCATAGCCCAGAGGGGACAGTCCCACAGAGGCCAGCCCTGCCTCTTACTGGACTTGAATCCTTCAGCAGGTGGTACTCTTTGGGTAACCTAAATCACTCTTGGAAGGTTTTTTTTTTTCCCCCTGTGCTTAGTTTTATAGCCTCTGATCTCTGGTGGATACTCCAGGTGCCTTCCTGGCCTCCTACCCCATCCCACCCCCTTTCTTCCCTACAGGAAGGACTTTGAGTTAAATGCACTCAATGCCAGAATTGAGGACGAGCAGGCCTTGGGCAGCCAGCTGCAGAAGAAGCTCAAAGAGCTTCAGGTAAGGCAGGGGACTCCAGCTGTGTGGGCAGTGCCTGGCTGGTTCTCAGCTTCCCTGGATCCCCTCCAGCGTGTGCTATTCCTGAATCACAGGAGCTGCGTGTCCATGAAAGGGGCAAAACACACAAGTCTCCCCGTGGGATTCCCTCAGGAGGGGCTTATAGACCTGAAGAAGAGAGCCTGGGGGGAAACAGGTCTAGAGGGCAGCCCTCCTGACTTTCTGTCTCTACTCTGGCTAGTCACATCGTCATAGAATTGTATGGTCTTGAGGCTCACCCTGTCACCTGCTGATTTTTAAAATCCCTGCATCCTTTACGGTTCTTTCCTCTATAGTTGAGTTAGACCTTCAGTATTTTATCAAGCAGGTGTGGTTTTCTCAGTCAGACTTTTGCTATTTTCTTGCCACTAAACTGCTTGGAAAAACCCAAGAGACACAGATTTCTTTGTCTTCCAAGAGATCTGTTTCCTTCTAATAAAGATAATAGGCAACCCTCAAGCATAAAGGAAAGCTAACTGGGCTGTGCAAGACACCTTCCTCCTGGGGCTGGAGGGATGGCTCAGTAAAGAGATGGCTCAGTGGTTAAGAGCACTGACTGCTCTTCCAGAGGACCCGGGTTCAATTCCCAGTACACACATGGCAGCTCACAACTGATCTGACAGCAGGGGATCTGACACCTTCACACCAATGCACATAAAATAAAGTTAAATAAACCATTAAAAAGAAAAAGACACCTTCCTCCCAATCCTTCTAAGTCCACCTCTCCAGTAATATAGCAAACTCACTTGATGTTCTCCATGGGCCAGGGTCTTTTAGAGCTCTGGGGTGAGGGACATCAGGAGGCCCTCAGTGGAGGGGTCCAGGAAGCCGGTCGGAACCTCTGTGTCCCTGACTAGGCACGCATCGAAGAGCTGGAGGAGGAACTGGAGGCCGAGCGCACAGCCAGGGCCAAGGTGGAGAAGCTGCGCTCAGACCTGACCCGCGAGCTGGAGGAGATCAGTGAGCGGCTGGAGGAGGCCGGTGGGGCCACGTCTGTGCAGATAGAGATGAACAAGAAGCGTGAGGCCGAGTTCCAGAAGATGCGGAGGGACCTGGAGGAGGCCACCCTGCAGCACGAGGCCACAGCTGCGGCCCTGCGCAAGAAGCACGCGGACAGCGTGGCCGAGCTGGGGGAGCAGATCGACAACCTGCAGCGTGTGAAGCAGAAGCTGGAGAAGGAGAAGAGCGAGTTCAAGCTGGAGCTGGACGATGTCACCTCCAACATGGAGCAGATCATCAAGGCCAAGGTGGGCCCTCTCAGCCGCCTCCCTCCCCTGGTTCCCTCCATCGGTCTTTTTCCTCCTTCCTTCCCCTATGTTCTCTGCTTGCCCCCTTCCTTCCATGGATCCCTCTCCATTTCTTCTTTAATTGTAGCCTTACTCCATTTCACTCCCTTCCTGCACCTACTGTGGAACTCCTCCCTCTCTTAGGCTAACCTCGAGAAGATGTGCCGGACCTTGGAAGACCAGATGAATGAGCACCGGAGCAAGGCTGAGGAAACTCAGCGCTCTGTCACCGACCTCACCAGCCAGCGGGCCAAGCTGCAGACAGAGAACGGTGAGACCGGGGCTGGAGCTCCATGAGCCACCCCAACTTGGGGTGCACATGCCCCTCACGTGCCCACGATGTCTCCAGAGAATGGAACCTACGGTTGAGGGTGGGGAGGGGTTGAAGACATCTTGGTGCCTCCCCAGGGGAGCTGTCCCGGCAGCTGGATGAGAAGGAGGCGCTGATTTCCCAGCTGACTCGAGGCAAACTCACCTATACCCAGCAACTGGAGGACCTCAAGAGGCAGCTGGAGGAAGAGGTCAAGGTGAGGCCTGGGCTCTGCCTGGCCCAAGCATAGAGTGCACCAACTGCCCTTGAGTCTCATCTCTTTCTTCCCTAAGAGAGAGGCTTCTCTGGTCCACAATTCTCTACAAATTATAAAAAGAAATAATAGCCAGCCTTTCCTAAGTGTCCTTTAAATCTGTTTCCCAGACTGAGAGGTGCCCTTTGGGGTGCTACGCTAGGGTGGGGGGTGGGGTGAAGAGGCGCGGAGGAAGTAATCTAAGGCAGTGGTTTTCAGCCTGTGGATCACGGCTCCTTTGTGGGTCAAAGGACCTTTCCACTGGGGTTGCATATCAGATATATTTACATTACAAACAGTAACAAAATCACAGTTCTGAAGCAGCAAAAATAATTTTAAGGTTGGGGGTCAGCACAACATGAGGAACTGTATTAAAGGGTCACAGCATTAGGAAGGTTGAGAACCACTGATCTAAGGAGACAGGTTTTGGCCTTCTTGGGTGCAGATATGGGGTGCAGGGTTATGAGAGCAATCTGAAGGCTGGAGAAGAAAAGTAAGCTGGAGTCTTTGCCTAGCACAGTACTGATTGTGAGAGAGAGACAAGAGCGTGAGTTCTCAAATACGCCGGGGCTAGAGCTGCAGCCTAGTTAGTAAAGTACTCGCCACATAAGGATGGAGATGGTTGGGCCTGGGTTCAGTCCCCAAGACCTGTGTAAAAAGCTGGGCGTGGCGCCACACTTGTAATCCCAGCGCCGAGGAGGCAGAGACAGGGAGGCTTCCTAGAACTGACTGCTCGCCGGTCCAGTCAAGTTGGTGACCCTTAGGTCTCAGTGACAGACTTCGTCTCAAAAACTATGGTGGACAGTGTCTGAAATGACACCCAAGGTTGGCTTCAGGCCGCCGTATTCATGCAGAAACACCCAACATCCTCCCCACAAAACCCCAGAGCTGAGTACCTACTGATGTACCTCTTATAGTGTGGTGGTCGTAGAACTATCCTGATGTCCCTGGGTGTCCCTGTAAAGGCAATGGATAACAAGACCTGCTACAAGGAGCACTGGGCAGGGGGCACAAGGAGCACTGGGCAGTGGGCACAAGGGGCATTGGGCAGGGAGCACAAGGGACATTGGGCAGGGAGCACAAAAAGCACTGGGCAGGGAGCACAAGGAGCATTGGGCAGGGAGCACAAAAAGCACTGGGCAGGGAGCACAAGGAGCATTGGGCAGCAGGCACAAGGAACACTGGGCAGGGGGTACAAGGAGCACTGGGCAGCGGGCACAAGGAGCACTGGGCAGTGGGCACAAGGAGCACTGGGCAGCGGGCACAAGGAGCACTGGGCAGGGAGCACAAGGAGCACTGGGCAGGGAGCACGAGGAGCACTGGGCAGCGGACACAAGGAACACTTGGCAGGGGGTACAGGAGCACTGGGCAGCAGGCACAAGGAGCACTGGGCAGGGGGTACAGGAGCACTGGGCAGCGGGCACAAGGAGCACTGGGCAGTGAACACAAGGGCTTCCTTTGTAAACAGGGTGTAAGCAGCGGTGCTTTACTCTGTAGGGTCATTCCAGCTCAGGAAGCCACTCCAGGTTCACTGGAGACTTGGAAGTAGATGTGGCCAAGGGAGCATGTTGAGACTGGGGTAAAGGTATGCCAGGGGTAACCTTACGGAAAAAGTTGATCCACTCCCTTGATGCCCACCTCTTCCCAGGCCAAGAACGCCCTGGCCCACGCCCTGCAGTCAGCCCGGCATGACTGTGACCTGCTGCGGGAACAGTATGAGGAGGAGACGGAGGCCAAGGCTGAGCTACAGCGTGTCCTGTCCAAGGCCAACTCAG